TTTTTTTTTTTTTCTGGAAAATACAAGATATAGCATATTTGATCGATACTTTTAAAGCAAATAGCATATTTTATCAAACATGATAAATAATAGCACATCTTCAATTTTAAATAGTTGTTTCCCCAATTTATCCTCTCCTTTCACTTTATGTTCCCATTTTTTTCTCTCTTTCTACTCTCTCTCATGAGATTCTTCTCTCTCTCTCTCTCTCTCTATCTCTCTCTCTCTCTGGATCTGCTCACTACTCAGACGCTCGCAAACATCTCTGATTAGATCGCAGCGAAGACGATGAGACGCTAACCACCGAGCACCGTCACAATCTCTGGAAGCCACACCTATGATCTTGGCGACTTCGATCTAGCGAATTTCTTCCTCTCTCTACCATCGCATTCTCTAGAAATTGTGCCTCTGGTCTCGAAAACTTCGATCTCTCCGCCATCGTGATCTTCAGAACTTCGTAGCCCGCGACCCTATCTCTCTCCGCTGCATGATCTTCAGAACTTGCACCTTCGTATCTCGCGATTTTCTCTTTCTCCTCCTTCGCATTCTCCAAAACTCGTGCCTCCGATCTCGGCCACTCCGATCTCATAATTCTCTTTCTCCGCCTTCACAGATTGGTTCCGAGAACTCGCAACCTTCGTCGTAAAGCAAATCCCAACTAGACCCCACCGTCGTGAACTTTTTCGGTGTTGTATTACAAGGCTAATACATTTTTCTGAGTTTTTTTGGTGTATTTTGCTGAAAAGGCCAAATAGATTTTGTTTTGTTTTTTGTGTTTTTTCATGATTTAAGTTGTTTTTATTGTGATTCTGAGATTGAGATTGTGATTTTCTGGATCTTATTTTACTTGTTTTGCTATTTCTAGATCTGAATGAATTTATGGTTTTTGTATATATTATTTTATGAGATTTGAAAACAATTTTAATTGTTCTTGATGTTTTCTTTTTTGTGTATTTTTCATGTATTTGGTTGTTTTTAATTGTGATTTGATTTGGGAGAGTTTCTTTATTTATGAGAATATACTGTATTTTTTAGGTAAATATTTCATTGAATCCTAATCCAAATCTGGTAAATATTGTATTTGCCGATAAATACTTCACTGAATTCGAGTTTGAATTTGGTAAATATTGTTTTGCCAGTAAATACTTAATTGAATTCAAGTTTGAATATGGTAAATACTGGATTTACTAGTATATATTTCACTGAATTCACTTCTCAAAGTGGTAAATACGATATTTACCTGTAAATATGGTGGTAAATAGTCGCGGGAGCCAGTCGCTGAATTTTCAAATAAATATGGTAAATACGATATTTATCAATCACTGGAGTTGGTCATCGGATTTTTAGAGAAATATGGTAAGTGTAGTATTTACCGGTAAATATGATATTTACCAGTAAATACGGTATTTACCAGTCACCAGATTTCTAAATAAATATGGTAAATACGGTATTTACCAGTCTTTGAAGTCAGCCATCAGGAGCCGGTCGCCGGAGTCGGCTGCCTTTCGCCGAAGCCGGTCGCCGGAGCCGGCCATGGAGGACTTGACTATAAGGAGAAGAAGAAAGAGGTGAGAAGGAGGCTTAGGGGTACTTTTGGGTTTTTAATAATATTTAAAACTTAAAATATCAAATTATGCTATAATCTATCATTTAAAAAAAAAAAAAACGCTATAAATTACTAAACATCCTAATAAATATGCTATTTCCCTCCTCATCCTTTTTTTTCCTAATATTCTCATAAAATTAATAACAAAATTATACACAAATATAACATAACATAAAATTAAAATAATATTTAGATTCCATATATAATTACGTGTATACTTAAATTATATATATGCATTATATAATTGAAGAAAACTTGTTGCATATGTTATTTAAACATATATAGAAATATATATATATAGATATAATTCGGATTGATGGATTATGCAGATTGAGAAATGTTCAATCCGCAATTTATTCTGTTATTGTGGATTGAGAGAATTTCAAACCGTTTCTAATCTAAAATTCTTTGAATTCAATATAATATGCAGTAACAAATTAGATTATGAGAATAAATCGGACTGCGGATTCAATGAACACCCTTAAATGCAGGTTTTCTAACATGAAATAACTTAATATTTATAAAAAAAAAAATAACAACAATAATGCAAACTTTTTTTAGCGATGTATGTCTAGATCAATTTATTTGTGCACATGTCAATTAATCCCACATAATTTATGCATTGGACTCTCGACGAATATTGATGATGTACATACTAAATACATACATGTCAGTACTATTGTCACATAATAAGGTAGGATCTATCCATTAATTTTATTAGGTTTTCTTTTATTATCATTTTTTCATCTGACGAAAATTGTTTAGGGGTATGCATTACTAGTGTTAAGTATAATCACTAATAAAAAATGAGTCTCACTCATAAATCTCATATGTGAGACTTATTTTCTATTAGTATATGGTGCTTGATAGTTCTATTTTACAAACTACAACCAAATGACGCATTATCAAAACAAAATGGAAATAGCATTATTATGTATCTTATTATCTGCAAGAATAATGCAAAATTAGCAACTTAAAAGAAGCACTTAGCGTGTGTCAAAAAAGAAAAAAGCATATATAATAATATAACGCGTTTGGTGGGCCCAATCCCAAATGTAACAAACCGAACGAACAGCAGAAAACGGCACCTGATTGACTGGATTGAACTCCGACAGGCAAGTGCTTCCATATATCTTCACATTTGGATTTTGGACTTTTTTTTTTTTTTTTTTGCAGTAATGAACTGCTTCTACGGCTCTTTGTGCAATCCGCCATTTGACACGTTTCTGTTCGTTACCGGTTTTTATCCCTTTTTTTATAATTGTTTTTTAATCCTATTTTGTTTGTATTTCTATCTGTTCTATTATATTCTACCAATTTATCTCACCGAACAAAAGTAATTTTTTCTTTTTTTTTCATTAATTAAAATTATGTGATTATAATTATTTTTAATTTATATATATTTTTTATAAAAAAAATACTATAATAAATTATGAATTATAATTCAAGGCTAAATCATCTAACCAAACGTTTCTAATAAAACACTATACCGTGTTATTCTTTTACCCTCCAAGTATCTATCGGAAACTACCGCTGTAGTAAATACTTGACACTTCTGCGGTTAAAACATAAAAACTCTTTTCACTAAAAACTCTAGGAATTAGAGAGAGAATTTTATATTGATTATTCGCTAATGTTGTAATATACTGTCATATAATTATACCACAATATCAATTCGATAAAAAAATATTACAAAAATAATCACACGAGAACAAAATAAATTTACAAAAATACGATTGCTTTAAGAAAAACAAATAGGAAAAATTTGACAAATAATCCTTGAAGTTTGTTCTCAATCTCATTTGATTCTCTTACTTTTTAAACGTCCCATAATTAGTCTTTAAAGTTTTATCTCATTTTAATTGCAATCTTTTTATTAACTGGGTGTCCTAGTTAAAATTGATAGAATCCGTGTAAATTAGGAAAAAAAATTAGAAACAGTTAGAACTCTAGGGCTATTTGTAAAAATTAATACTTATTTTTTTTGTATTGTTTTAGTCCCTAAACTTTATATTTAACACTTTCTGTTAAATATTCAACACCAAAAAAAGAAAAGGACTGAAACTGCAACAAAACAAAATTTGAGAGAATAATTGTAAGACGTTTTAAAAGTCAATGACCAAAATAGAATTGACGATAAATATTATGGACTATTTGTGAGATTAATCCAAATCAATATACAAATTTAAAGAAATATAATAAAATTTAACAATTATACAATATTAACATACTTTTTTTTCATCTTTACCATATAACTTTCTTAATGAAAATAGCTTATCATAGCTTTAGGGCCGGTTTGACATTACTTTAGTAAGTTATTTTTAGTCTTTTTTTTTAAACTACAATAGGTCTAGGTATTTAGTAAGTCCTATTTTTGTTCAACAATTTTAAAAACTGTTGCTAAACAGTAAAATTTAAGAAGCATGTCGTAGATTACGTTTACATAGCTACTTTTGATGTTATTGTTCAAATTTATTAAAAAAATCTTAATAATAAAACTTAATTCTCTATTTACACATTTTATTTTTTCATACCAAATTAAAAAATATTGTTTAAATATTTATTCAAAAATCAAAATATTTTATAAATATACTTTGAAAATTTTACTTTTTTTATAATTATCAAAATGTTTTAAATAATAATAATAATAAATAATAAATTTAGCAACTAAATTTTAAAACAATTTTTAAGTTAAAATCATATATTTTTAGGTAATTTGGTGTAAAATATTATGAATATTGACCTAAAAAATAAAAATAGAACCGATTATAAATATTTGTGCTAATTTATATCTATTTTAGTCATTATACATCTTCATAATAATTTTATATATAATTTACTAAACACCTAAATTTTTACTTATGGTATTTACAGTAGTTTAAAAAAAAATTACAAAACACTTACATGTTTTTTTGTTAAAAATTTTATCAGTACAATAATGTTAAACTGACTGTTAAACTTTAAGATCAATTCAAAACTAAAAATAAATTATACAAATTTAACTTAAATTTGTAAAGATATATTATACTTTACTAAATAATAATCTTTTATCTTTTTTAAAGATTTTTTATGATATGTCTCCTTATCGTTAGTACGATTTTATTCATGTTAGATTAAAAAATATGTAATATATATAATTTTTTTATACAAATCTCATTATTAAAAAGTACAAAATTAGCAGTAGTTGAATTGTTTTAGAGAATTTTTTTTTTTTTTAATTTTAGATCGTATTTAAAGATTTTAAATGTATATATTTTGAGAGGTCAAACCGTCAAAAAAAGAAAGAGGGAAGAGTGGGGGAGAGTTGGTGGTGGTGATGGTGGGGAGTTATAAGGTAAGTGAGAGTCTCTACAGTTACTTCAATCCAATTCCAATCCAAGCCGGCTCTTCTTCTTTTCTTTTTTCTTCTTAGCTCTGTCTTTATTTTTTCACTGCCCAATTATCTTACGCAAACCGGACCATTTCATTTTCATTTTCATTTTTTAATTATTTTTTCCTTTTCTTAATTCCTTTCTCTTTCTCTTCATCGGTATCGTTGTTGGTATTTGTGAACTTGGATTCGTTTCCTTTGTCCTTTTGACATCTTCTTCTTCTTCTTCTTCGTCTTATTCTTCGCTAGAGAACACTGAAAACAGGCCCGGAAGTTTGAATTCGAATCTAATTAAACTGCTCTGAATTTCGGATTGGAATATAATGATCTTTTATCTGATTGGGCTCTTCGGATTCAATCTTGTTTTCTCTAATAAGTAATAATCTCTTTGGACTCTGAAAAAAAATAAACAATAAAAACGATTTAAAGGGTCTTTTTGATTTGGGAAAAATGGGTTGCTTTTCGTGTTTCGATTCGAAGGAGGAGGAGAAACTGAATCCCGATAAGCAAAGCGATGATCTAAAGCAGAGTCAACAACCAACGCTTACCTCTAACCTCGCCAGATTGCCTTCAGGTTAGTTTTAACTTCGTTTTGATATATAATTTATCCCCTTTTTTTCTTTTTTGCTTGATCTGATCTGGGTATTTCCATTTGATTCAAAATTGTGAAGAATATGGTGATAATGCTCGATTCTTAGTTGTTTGGTTTTGTTTATTATCAACTGATTGATTGATTGTTCAACAAGGTTTATGAATTTTTAGATTTTTTTAGGTAGACCCCACCAGATTTTGACACCGTTAATAAAAAAGGGTCCCTTTTTTTTGTTTTAAAAATTTTTCCTGTTGTAATTTGAAACCTTTTAGTGAGTTTGTTTGCTTGTTAGGCGATCCGAGTGTGCTGAGTGATGAAGTCTAGAAATCTTTTCATTATTTTTCATATTTTAGGGCTAGCTAATATTGTTGATCATATTCCTCAGAATCTTTTTGAAGTCAAAAGTGGATCATGCTTGTTTTCATATGTGATTGGATAGCTTGATTGAGTTTCCTATTTGGAGAATGCCAAGGGGGTTTATTGTTTGAATCTTATCAAATTCAAGGTCTTATCTTGGTCTTTAGTGTCTGATTGAGAATGACATAATACTTATGGATCTGCACTTTCTTTTGTAATGGTGGTTTTTGCAGGAGCTGATAGAGTCAGATCAAGGAGCAACGGAGGGTCGAAAAGGGAATTAACCTTGCCAAAGGATGTGCCGGGGGTTCATATTGCCGCACAAACATTCACTTTTCGCGAGCTTGCGGCAGCAACAAAGAATTTTAGGCCGGAGTGCTTCTTGGGGGAGGGGGGATTTGGGCGCGTGTACAAGGGGCAGCTAGAGAGCACTGGTCAGGTAAGTTCTTTCACTATTGCCTCTTTTTTTTTTTGGTTATGACAAGTCCAGTCATATACAACTGTGGAAGTCATGGATTGCCAGGCAATGATTGTTAATAGGCAGCCAAAATTCTGAAATAAACAGACCATAATTTTGTGAAACACTAATGGGGGAACATTTGTTTTCTTTCTCTGTTTTTTCCTTTTTTTTTTCCATCAATGTCCATTTCGATAAAATGAAGGATCAAAAAATCAGTAACTTTCTGTAGTGTTGCTGACTGGCGGACTTGCCATATATTATGAGAATCAGTGCTTATTTCCTTATCTGGGATCTTTTAACTTTTGATCTTGTACTATATGCACTGATCTGTTTCCTCTTGAAGACCATAAGGTTTGTAGAATCCTGATCAGGGAGAAAATAGAAGCAATGGCGGATTTTCATGATAAGAATCTATAATTAGATTAGAAATACTAATTAGTATTTCTAATGATTGAAACACATACACACACAAACGCACATTGGTTCAGGTGCTGTTTGAACTAATTAGGTCTCTCTTTCTGCTAATTTTTCTTTTTTAAAAAAAAAAGGTTGTTGTTCTCTTGAAAGGATATTATTTGAAGATTCAGATATGTTGGAGTGAAGTGGTAGCATGATAATGACACTAAAACATTCTTTTATTGTATCTTCTGATTTCTTTGGAAAGTTGTTTGTATTCTCTATTCTGTATACATTTAGATTTGAGTGGACTGAAGATGGTGGTGAATAAAGACATGTCTCATATGATCGAGGTGGCTCAAGTTTCTTACTGTTTTATGACGCCTTTCACAGGTTGTTGCTGTTAAACAATTGGATAGAAATGGTCTTCAGGGTAATAGAGAATTTCTGGTTGAGGTGCTCATGCTTAGCCTTCTGCATCACCATAATTTGGTGAATCTGATTGGCTATTGTGCCGATGGCGATCAAAGACTTCTTGTTTATGAGTTTATGCCTTTGGGATCGTTGGAGGATCACCTTCATGGTAACAATTTTTTCTAAATTATTTGTTTTCTCTTAGAAAGTTACCCTTTTAATATCTCGTAAGCTGAAGAACTGTAGAGCAGTAAATGTTTAACTACTTTTACATCAATAAGGGACGTATGACATTGTTGGAGGAAATTCGAAGCTGATAAGAATGGTAAAAGAAGGAAAAAGTTTCCAGTTGGGATTCTTGAAGATTTTCTTATAACTTCAACAAAATTCCTTTGGCCAAACTCGTGTCAGTAGAAGATAATGTATGATTGCCAATGTCGTCTTAAGGGCCATGGTATATTTAATATGAGCAGCAGAATGGATTGACAGATTTTGTTCTGATGTTTAGGTTAGGAAAAAATTACGGATCTTGATGAGGGTGTAATTTTCGTATGTTGGTAACTTGGCTGTAAAGTATAAACAAAAGTCGTTTTCATCCATGCCCTTGCTAGAGATGTGTTTTTTGTAGGTTCTCATGCTGTTGGTGTAATTTCGCATATAAAATTGTGTTATACATTTTGTTAAAATCTGAATGTACGGTAACATGCCCTCCTTGATTAATTGATTGTACGGCAGATCTTCCACCTGAGAAGGAACCACTAGATTGGAATACAAGGATGAAAATAGCGGCCGGTGCTGCCAAGGGCTTGGAATACCTGCATGACAAAGCAAACCCTCCAGTTATTTACAGGGATTTTAAATCATCCAACATATTACTGGAAGAAGGATTTCACCCGAAGCTTTCTGATTTTGGGCTTGCGAAGCTAGGTCCCACCGGAGACAAGTCACATGTGTCAACCAGGGTTATGGGCACTTATGGTTACTGCGCTCCTGAATATGCAATGACAGGACAGTTGACAGTGAAGTCTGATGTTTACAGTTTTGGGGTAGTCTTCTTAGAGTTAATTACTGGGCGTAAAGCCATTGATAGCACTCGACCCCACGGAGAGCAGAACCTCGTCACATGGGTAAGTCCCTCAATTTTGTTGCAAAATTGACCAATTCTGAAGTGATCTGGCTAGTGTGGGCTCTTTGTTCATGATAAAACTGAGTTATTGTGTTTTTGTTTATGTGCAGGCACGGCCGTTATTCAATGACCGCCGGAAGTTTTCAAAACTGGCTGACCCACGGCTGCAGGGTCGGTATCCAATGAGGGGACTCTACCAAGCTCTGGCTGTGGCGTCGATGTGCATCCAAGAGCAGGCTGCCACTCGTCCTCTCATTGGAGACGTAGTTACTGCTCTATCGTATCTAGCCAACCAGGCGTATGACCCCACCACAACCTCAGGACATGGTTACAGAGGCTCTGGAGATAAGGATGACAAAAGAATCAGAGATGGTGGGAGGATACTAAGGAACGAGGAAGGTGGAGGATCTGGTCGTAGGTGGGATTTAGAGGGGTCGGAGAAGGAGGATTCTCCCAGAGAAACTGCAAGAATACTAAACCGGGATTTGGATAGAGAACGAGCAGTTGCGGAGGCAAAGATGTGGGGAGAGAATTTGCGAGAAAAAAGACGACAGAGTGCACAAGGAAGTTTTGACGCCGCCAATTCATAGTGCTCTAGTGTACATAATGCTGCACCTTCTTCCTGCCTTGGCTCCTTTTGCTTTCTCACAAGATGGAAGTGCAGAAAATTTCGGAATCTGTGCTTTGTTTGAGAACTGTTATATTCTATAAGTGCTCAGGTTGCTGCTTAAACTGAGCATGATAAAAAAGGAGCTCAATGTAAGTGACTTGGTGCCAACATGGTTTCTAATTTTAACACTTTTTTTTTTATAAATAATTTTCCATTTTGCTTTCATTACCATCATGAAGTAGGAAGAGAAGAAGAAGAAGAAACCATAATTGAGAGTGTACATTATCTGCTAGGAGGGTGAGGAGTATAACAAAGACGTATTTAAAAATTTTGAGAGTAAACATGTCTAGGGATGATGAGATAATGGTTCTTCTCTGTCTTTGTAGTACATTTTGCACTATATAACAGCTGTTATGTTGTACCTTGTAAGTCCTTTTCGAACATCTTTACAATTAACGGACATGTAACATTGTTTCCTTATTCTCATGGGCCTTAAGTCTTTACTTTTTTGCTTTCCTAAATACTCCTTGTTGGTTTCCTTTTTAAAAAGATCAAAAAAAATTAATTTCAAAATTTCTTCCCGAACTTTAGAGCAATATCATTTGTTAACTATCAATTTTTTTTTTTTCATTTGAGCTCATTCCCGCTAAAATTCCTAATACAATTTGATGTTAGTGATGGAGTCACATAGACCATTTGTTTTGCACGCATTTTTAGTTACAATGTTTTATCTTACAAAAAAAAATTTAAAATCTCTGTTCAAATTTTCTTTTTAAATCTATAAACCAAACGGGCTAAAAGTGGGTGAATTGTATTTGAATCACGTCGAGAGGTCAGAATTAGAAGAAAAGTAGTCATACGCATGCAACCACCATTAAGTTCGCAAGCTGAAACAGAACTATACAATGTTTTTTGATAAACTCCCAATCACATTTAGCTCATGAATGTTTCTGTTATTTCTGTTTCAAGGTCTTTTCAGTAAAAGACATTCCTTAATGGGGGAAATTGCAGAGTTGGCCCCTTTCTATTTTCTTTTGTTTGATCTACTCACACACACACACACATACATAATTATTGAAAACTTGGGTGGGAGACATTGAAACAGGCGGGCCATTATGAATCTTTTGTGGGCTGGTGCTGCAATATTTGCTTGTGTTTTGGCAAATGGGTTTGTGGAGCATAATCTCAATGAAAAAGCTGAGAAGGTTATGGATCAACGTTCACGGTCATAGCTTTGGTGGTGGGACTTGACTTTATTCATGAAGCTAATTCAGAAAAAGGAGCTGGTGGTACAATTCGTTTCACTGAGCTAACGAAATTTCGTCTACAACAAGGAGCTCTTCTTCCTTCTTCATCAATGTCGTTTCTGCAACCAATTTTGGTTCAAAATTTTGGTCAATACTATATAATTCGGGTCCATATTTCCAAAATTGCCCAACTACCTCGTAAAATTCATCACATGCGTGACAGGTGCAAAATCCGCTGGGAATTTTAACGAGAGTAGCTAAAATGGCGCAATTCGAATGTTAAGGCATCACATTTGAATTTGGAGTCTATATGGTTATAAGACCCAAAATTCAAGAGGAAGTGTTGAAATTGAAAATGCAAAGAAAAAAATAGAGAATTTATCTTTGAGAGTTTATAAGTCTGAACTTTTTTCTCTTACTCTTGATAAATAATCTTTTGTTAGTGTAATTATTTGACTAAAAAAGTTATGAATCAAGAGTAAGGGGTAAAAATCTTGACTCGTGCACTTTTAAAGAGTTTTTTTCAAGATTACCCAGAAGTATAGACTAGTGTCTTCAGTCCCCTTAATCCTTGATTTTTGATATTGGTTTATGAACAAAAATTTAAATTTTATGAGAAAAAATACTGTAATAAAAAAGTTTGAACAGTTATTCAAAGTTATAAAAAAAAGGGGTCATAAATGTAGGTCTTGCTTTATACAGAATTTACGTTTAAATAAGCTTACATTATTATTTCTACTATTTTTCCATGCAAAGTCCCTTTCCCCCTTATATATATATATATCCACATGTGTATATAGACAGATATAAGATATATTGAACTTTACTTGAGGATAAAATGTGTAAAGACTGTGTATACTTGTCGAATTCTCTGGTCTAATATTGCACCAAACATAGATAGAACACTCGGCACAGTTCAAGACAATCCTACGCTGCAGGGACGTACTACCGGGCAGGATTCAATTGGTGATGTTTCAAAAATATCAGCTGGACCATATGGTTGTAGGGATGTACCATTATAAGAAAGAACGCAAGCAATGATTTTCCAGTCTTTTTCTTGAGGTGGACTGAACCACCCACAATTTGTGAGAGGGCGGAGATTATCCTAAGCCCTTTTTTTTTTTTTTTTTTTTTAAGAACGGAAAGATAGATAACTCAGATAAACAAAATGAAAAGATAGAGAGATGTCCTGTTTTTTGTGGTGTTTGATATGAACAAAAAGCACAAATATTTTTCTTATTTTGTTAGTTCAATTTATAATTTAAATTTTTGTTACGATATCTTTTTTTAAGCCCTTTTTTTTTTTTTTTTTTTTAAGAACGGAAAGATAGATAACTCAGATAAACAAAATGAAAAGATAGAGAGATGTCCTGTTTTTTGTGGTGTTTGATATGAACAAAAAGCACAAATATTTTTCTTATTTTGTTAGTTCAATTTATAATTTAAATTTTTGTTACGATATCTTTTTTTAAATAAATTAAAATTTAATTTTTTTTGTGTCACAATATTTTCTCTCACTTAAATTTACTTTTAAAATCGAATTGAAAACTCCGACCAACGAAACGAATGGGTGAAAGGGTGAAAACTTCAGGTGAAGTTTTTTTAGTAAATCAGGTCAGATTATTTGAATATCACTCAATCATTTTCCCCCCTTTAATCAATCCTGCAAAACAAACAACCGCCATAAAATTTCCCTCATAGCTAATAAGCTCTAGACATTTTTCTTTTTTTGAGTTGAGTGGGAACCACAAGTTGGAATATATTAGAGAAGGACCTGACTAAAAGTAAATCAAGAACATTTAGAGGAATCCAACGGTGACCAATCAAAGGAGTCTCATCAAATAGATTAGAAAATCGGGGGATTTCCAACAATATCAACAAAAATCCATCGTGGACCAATTCTTCGAATAGATTGGAAGTAAACAAAGCCCATGGGATGAAAATAAGCTTTGTCGAGTCGTGCAGAACTATAGTACACGGGCCCACACGTGATTCTTTTGTGGGCCCTAATCTTGGAAATATCTAATGCACTGAAAGGGTTCTGCCATATTCATATTACAAATGAAAGTCTTGTTTAAAAAATAAAAAATAAAAAAAAATAAAAAACTTAATCATACTTTGTTATATAAGAGTTTTAATGTATTTAAATCAATCTTATAATAGTGATGAATTTCATTTTGTACTTACCTAGGGCAGCATAAAAATGAACGGCCTAAATTATATTGTCACGTGGGAACGTGGCACCAATATTGGATTACCGTACAGTGATACGTGGCAGTGACAAGGCCTGTCCATCCATCTGCATCACAGCTTCACCTAGCATTGTTCTTTCCTTTTCACTCGAAAAAACAATTCAATGTCCAGGCCAGAAAAAAACAATCAAATAGACAAAAGGTCACAAAATGTGATACATGCTTCATGTGCTGACGCAATCCCACAGTGATATGCCTTTTGCAACCCTAATGGTAAATTTGTGTTAGATACTGAAATTTTCTAGTGCCCTTTTTTTTATTTGGTTGGTTTAAGCTCGAGATCCTTCTAGAAAGTGTAAGATCGTGTTATTTAGCCATGCAATAATATTGCTTTGGTAGGTTGGACTTGGACATCAATAATGGAGAAGTAAAAGTTATACGATCAGCTCCATCGAAATGGATTAATGGTTTACAGTGTGTTTGGAAAACGACATAAAAAATGACAATTAATACAATTTCTTAAACAAAGGTACACCTTTTATAGTAGTAATCAACAACTGTCTGCGGGAAAAAAAAAAAAAAAAAAAAAAAAAAAAAAAAAAAAAAAAAAAAATGGACATCAATAATGGAGAAGTAAAAGTTATACGATCAGCTCCATCGAAATGGATTAATGGTTTACAGTGTGTTTGGAAAACGACATAAAAAATGACAATTAATACAATTTCTTAAACAAAGGTACACCTTTTATAGTAGTAATCAACAACTGTCTGCGGGAAAAAAAAAAAAAAAAAAAAAAAAAGAGAAAAGTATAAACGATCAGAAAAGAGCTGATTACAAGGCACTTTTTTTGTATCGGAGTTTTTGCTCTAAGGCCTGCTAAATAATTGGATGTTGATCATGATCATAATGATTGACTGTTACACATTTATACTGATCCAATATTTATATATTTAAACTGCCGTTTGATTGGGGTGGAGATGATCATCCGGAGAAACTTCTGACGTTTTCTGATCGTCATGATGACGATCATGTTCCTTTGAGACTTTATCATCGTGATCACCGTTGTACTTAGCATTATCAACAGGATGTACTTGATCAGAAGTGGCTAATGTGTTCCTCATGTGTTCTGAAAGCTTCTTTTCCTGATCCTCTTCTGTTTTGTAGTTTCTGTAGATTGCATATAGAAGCATTTGTAGGAGCCCCAACACGAACCCCAATACGTTTGGAACCTATACACAGAATATATATGATATGTTCATATGTTAATTTATGTGAAATTAATAGAATTAGAAAATAATTATGTCAATTAATTAATTTATACTTACAGCTATGCATATGTCCTTGAGAAGAAGACCATAAGCAAACCATGTTATGGCACTCAACGTTAGGAAAAATGATAACGTAAATGGCATGAATTCTACGCTCCTTGTTCGGATCACTTGTGCCTGCAAAAAATAATTAAGCAAAATCAATATTGTTAAGATATATGTGAGAATGTATGTGATAGTTGCAAACAGGTTAGTCTAACGGTAAATTTACATTTGTTTTAAGATCGGTACTTAATCAAATCCCCTCAGTAACCCCAAGTTAAACATAAGATATATATTGAGCATATGAGTGATTAAAAAGAGATTAACTATATATTTTAATTAGGTTACTCGGGGGATTACTATGTATAATATATGTACTCACCACAATGCTCAAAGGAGCTGCAAAAACACTGACAGAAATGGCTACACAAATCCAACCAAGAACTTGGACTCTATATGAATGTCCGACTGCGAATTGTGTGACGAGAAAGATCAAAGAAAACATCCCGACGTTCATAAGGGCGAAGAACTTGATCGTTAATTTCTGCATTCACAATTTGAACTCTATGTTAGATTAGAACAAAACTTTTGTTTTTTTTTTTAGTTTTTTTTTTCTTTTTTTTAGGGAGATTAGTACGCAACTTAATTAAACATTTGAAACATTATATATATACACACATATACATATACATATACATATACATATACATATATATATATATATATATACACCTTGGCGTGGCTTGGTGCATAGACAATGAACATGGTGATGTAGATCATCTCAATGACACATCCGAAAGAGTTGATGGTGATGAGAAGCATAGCATCTGTCTTGAGTAATGCGTAGTACAACCACAACATAGAACTAAATAGTGCTACCAAATAAGGCAGCGAGTGGAAGTCTTCGGTAGATTTCTTTCTGTACACTCGATAAAATGTTGTTCTGAGATTAAAAAATTAGAAAACATATCAGATTATATGCAACGTATATTCTTAATACCATTAAAAAAAGAATTAATATAAAATACTTACACAGGGGCTAAGTACACGAGGACGGAAATAATATTACCTGTCAACAATATTTAAGAGAACAATATAATTAATTACTTAGTTAGCCGAAATGTACAAAACGACACGAAAGGTAAAATGATAAGAAATTGGATTATAAAGTGTCCGTTCATTATAAGGAGCTAGCCTCCTAATCATGTCACCATAATTTAATAAAATCATCAAAAGGTAGTTAAATTAAGAAAAAATTGTGTTTGTGAATAAGGTTTGATGATCATCAGGTATATATCAAATCATTAATTGCATTTGCAATTAATTAACATGTAGTAGGTAGCTTGTGACAACAAATCATTCCGTGCCAAAACAAACAAAAGTTATATTAGAGTATAGTAGGAGCATTGGTTGGAGTTGTACCATAGTTAGAAAAGAATTAAGCTGGTAAAACATATCATCACACATATGTAAAGACAAGACATGTATACAAATATAATTATTGTTAGTTCTTTCATATAATCTATAGCTAAAAAAAAGATAAATAAATTCAGGTCATCCTTAAATAAATTCAGGCCATCCTCTCGATAGAAGAAGAAGAAAAAGAAGATACGACACCAAACCAAAAATATAAGACCAAGTAAATAAAAGCAACCGAACTGTGAGAAGAATACTACAATATATAACAAACAAAAGAGAACTGAGCAACGTCACTCGAACAAGTTAACATGAGAAGTGAGAAGCACGCAAAAATCGCACATGAATCATGTTTGTTGTGCCAATTTGGTGAGTAGTGATCATATGGTTGAGTGAGAGTCTCAAAAAATAAAAAATAAAAAAAATTCAACAACAACAACTTTGGTCCGATTTCTCAAACAAAAACGAAGAGAAAAAGGAAATCATGATGAAAAAGAATAGAAGAGAGTTAAGGGTATTAATAACTTCTACTGATGACCAGAAATAAAATGTATACCTAGGATTCCAAAAGTAAATGTCCAAGGATGCTGAATGTTGAAGATAGCCATAATATTCACTCTCTTTGATAGACCAAACGATGTTCAAAACTTTCAACTGCTTTCTCTTGTTCTCTATGGAGATGAAGCCAGAAAAAAAAGCAGGTTCTCAGCTGGTGAGAAACCCTAGCTCTCTCTCCCCCGGCTAGCTCAACTTGTCATGCAAAAAGTAATGGAATCCCAAAGTTGAGGATGGTTAATATTTGGGTCTAAGCAACCTCTTTTATACACAAACATTCATATACGGTTCAATGTGGCCAATTTTGATAGGAAGGGGAAAAAAATTAAATTTAAAAAAAACAAAAACAAAAAAAATAAGAGCAGTGTGCCAAAGGAGCTCATTCAGTTTGCATTGACAGGTGGAGACCCAGTAGGTGGCATAGCGTAAATTCATTCACCCAACGAAGAGTGCAACTCTCACGTGCCACCAAAGTCGCGTGTGGAAAATCCCTTACCAAATGTCCAAAAAGTACAAACTACAAATTAGGAAAAAAGAAAAAGAGACTCATCATCCACAACTTGATACTCCACTTTTGGCTCTTTCGACGTTATGGAATCCGTATCGATGAGACGGTGCATTGGTGATGCGCGTTTTTAATTGTCAGATAACATTAAAACTACGACGGAATACAACAAAAATATACAATACCAATATATAGGGTAACTATTTTTTACCATATATACCAAAGAATTTTACAACCTTATTTATTTGTCATGTTATGAGGGTGAGTTGTTCATGTAGGACCATGAGAGGGTAAACTAATAATGGTGGAGTACTCCAGTAGTTTCTGTCGTGTCATTATTGTAATTCAAAGAAAAGCGTATAACACCACGCGCGTTGTTAAGAACAGTACTAGAAATGGAAGAGAAAATACGAATGTTTTACGTCACTCATTCTTTTAGTATTATTTTTAATATCAGCATAATATAACCCAAAGGAATGGTGTCTAATTAGGTTATATTAGAGCTCGATTCACGTGACCTTTCGAAACACAAAACTACTGTAAACAGTTTCTCTCTTTTTCATGTGATATATGATGATCTTGAGCCCGAAACGAAACACGCCTCGCCGCGTCATATATCTATTTCTATATATATATATATATATATATATATATAAATATATATATATATATATATATTATATATCTCTTATTAAAGGTTTTTTAATTTTTTTTTTCATTTCCGTTGTTCTCTTTTGTTTATTAGTGTCTCACCGCTCATGAAATTATAAGGGGTTTGTTTCGTGTGGTAGAGGAAAATCTCACCTTTTTCTTCATCAAGTTTTTTTTTTTTTTTTTTTTCGTTGTAATATATATATTGAGTTGTCCATCTCTTTAGCGGTTATAACTTCATGCATGAGCAAAGGACAAAAAAAAATCCAAGTACCGATTATATTGATTGCCTTTCAGATGCATTCCCTTAAAAAATATTGTAGGTAGAGTACTACTAATATCATTCCCTATTCCCTTAAAAGGGGAGGTGTGGGTGAAATTTGTTTGCTTTTCAGATGCATCTACTAGCTCCTCAATGATTTGGGGGGGGACTTCAAATTCATGACACATATGGCAATACTCCAATAATTCAATGACTTGGACCCGTTTAGCATTTAATTAATCCATTATGTGCCACTCACTCATTTCGTTATTCAATCATGTTGTCAATGCTTACCAAGCAAAAAAGGGGGGGAAAAATCATGGTGTACTCAATGTTTCTACAAAATAAAGTGACATAAAGCTAATCCCTCTTGATTAATTATTCTTAATTACGTCCTTACTTGCTATTATTTTATGATCCCATGATTAGTGTTGGCGTTTTTAACATGATAACAATAACAACAAATTCAACAATCCAAACCGCTCCTATTCTTTTGGACTTTATTCAAAGTTAAAAGAGTGGGACGAAAAGGACTAAACTGACTCTGTAAAAAGGGACCATGCACATGAAAAAAGCTTAATAGATGGAATGATGTAAAAAAGGTACGCACATGTTTGTTGGCTTTAACCGTGCTTGATCACAATGAACAGCCCAACATCCAACCAGCTTCAATTATTTTTGTCTACATATATAGTATACAATAGGATAAGAAAGATCAAAAAAAAAAAAAAAAAGATTGTGGAATAAAAAAAAAAAAAAAAGGCATGCACACAAAGCTTAATAGATAGAACAAAAACATGATATGAAATGTTCCCACGATTTTCTGCTCCCCGATTGTATGTTATCGATGAGTTGAGTCCCATCACTAGTTGAATTAACAAATTAATTAAGGACCAAATTTTCACGTGTAACAATGTAGTTAGCTAGAAAAATAATAATCACAATAAATTGACTTAATTCATTGTTTTCCTAAACTTTATTAAGAAATAATACTTATTATTAGTTCTCCACAAATTTGGGCTTCTATGATCTCAGGTAATACTTGTGATTGAGATCAATCTACAGATGGAATCGTATTGGCTAGTTGAATTTGAAGATCAGATCAATAGATCATCATATATTATGTAGCAATGTATAGCTAACTAGGGAGGCAATAATAATAAATATAAGGAAAAAAAATCTGGATTATTCTTTTTCATCAATCAAAAAAAAAAAAAAAAGCTGATAATAATTCACGAATATGGTGGGAGGGGGGAATTGACAAATTTTTGAATCTTGATCAATAATAATAATAATAATAATAATAATAATAATGTTGTGGGGTACTGCACCCCTATTATTGAATATTGGGGAGATACCCCATCAGATATTGAGATTGAAGGGGGGTGAAGAGTTTATCCCCTTAAAGAGTCTATCATATTGTGGTGGTGGGAATGTCCACTTCCTGAATTCTTTGATTGGGTTTGTGCCACTTCACCAACGGCAACGATTTGTAATTGTTAGACAAATCGGTACAAGACCCATTGATGAGTAATTTAAGGATTGAGAAAAAGCTCACGCTTCTCATATTGGTGATATATATACATATATATGTGTGTACGTATACACACACATGTACATTCGTACACAATTTAATTATTGGTATTGTCGATCGAAGAAGAAAAGTTTGATGTGGAACCACAATTTTGAAGATAGCTAGCTGTACGTGTAGAGGTTCATGTTTTTTGCGGCTTGAGATTTTGACATGTGGAGCCAGTCTTCTTTGTTTAGAATTTTATTAGTTAGTATGGAAAGGTGGAACTCATTTTGAACATTAATTCCATGATTGATTACGTAAAAGAAGAAGGAAGTCAGTCAGTGAATCAGCCTAAATTAAGTTCATGTTAGGTGTGCGGTTTCACCCATGTTACGTGCATGTCACATAACATATACTCTCTTTGTGTGTATGAAATTCTATGGAGTTAGATTGAAGAGAAGACACCACTATCCACTAATGTCAATTTTATATACGGAAACACTTTAGATTTTGTCTTCATGACCTGGCAATATATATTACGGAAAAATTCTGGTTTTTCTTCAAAACACCTCTTTAATTGTGAAATTTACGTATAAAACTCTCCTAATCTAACTTAAATTATTGCTGCAATAACGTTTTCCTAGTCTGAGGTGATAGATGCAAGTTTCGATATTAATTAAATATTATTATTACATTTATGCAAAACATGAACAATAAGGTTCTATGGTGTAGTGGTTAGCACTCTGGACTTTGAATCCAGCGACCTGGGTTCGACTCCCGGTAGGACCTTTAATTATCTGCTATTTTGTCTGTTATTGTCTCTCTTCCTTAGCAAATTACCGAACACCAACTTTTTTATTTTATTTTTTTATAATTTACACAAATAATCTGTAACTTTTTTAAAAAGTAACAGTTTGATCTCTCAATCTTTTTTTTTGACAAAACGACTCTTAACCTTTTTAAATAAGTGTAGTCTAATCTTTTTCGTTAAATTTTTTATAGTGCAAATTATGTGCATTGTACATGATCTCATAGTAAAAGATATTTTAATAAACTGAATAATTTCTTTTTCAACAAAAATCAAAATAAAAAATCTAAAAAGAACCACACAAATTTTGGAAGTACACAACTTCCTCTTGCCGAGCTTTGGTCATTGGATTTCACATTTTCTTCCCCTCCATCGACAGATGGGGGTGGCGTGGGGAGAACCTCCAGTGACATCTCTCTCTTTCTTCTTCCCCCTGTCGACCGCTGGGTTTTGCTTCTTCTCCCAAAGCGAAGGAGAAAAATATGGGCTCCATCCTTGCTCAAAAGCCTTCTGCTCTCTCCCTTCTCCTTGATCTCTCTATGTTGAAATGATAAAACCGGATCTAAACTCAAAGCTACGAGTTCTGGGAAGATCGCAAGATTTAGGATCGACGATGCATCGATGATTGCGAGATTTGGACTCCGTCGGTGAGCTAGCGACGACCTGGTGTTGAGATCTTGAATCGAAGGCATTCATCTGCGTTGCATTTGCGCCTATAGCCCTCCGCCGACTTGCCTGCCAAAATCTCTGGCACGTTGTCGCGTCTGCTTGGAGACCTCCTCGAGAAGCGTATTGGGTACTCTATTAAGAAGTATTTCGACACAATTGACAGAGTCCTCGCTAGCTTGCGGGTGTTGGTTCAGGGTGATGCCAGTGTGGCACAACGCCGGCGGGCTAGCCGGGCAGTAGAGGGAGAGTAATTCATGGGTTAAACCAATTTGAGGGCAATTTTTTCTTTCCCACGTAAAAAGGGGTCACATGAGGCGCACGTGCTTTCTCCCATTAGTTTTTAAACAGATCTTGGTAGAAAGAATCAAATTGCACCTATTTAAAGAGGTTGGAAGTCGTTTTGTCAAAAAAATGTTAGGGACCAAACTATCACCTTTTAAAAAGATTGGGAACCATTTATACAAATTACCATTTTTTTAACAAAGTTAAAAATCTTTTTAGGATATTTATATTTTTATACTATCTGTTTTAAGCTTATTCAAAAAATATATTTTCAATTTTTAATCTCATCGTATACTCTCAATTCATAATAAATAAATAAAGCTCTACTCTTTTATAGTGAATTGTTAATTTTGACTGTTAAAATGATACAAATATCCTTTTAAGAGAAAAATTAAAAATTTGTTATAGAGTAAAGAGGAAAAAAAAATACATTATATATGAATTTAGAAGAGGAAAACAAATGGATTTTTTTTCCCCCTTACATGTCTTCTTCCTCGTCTGCATCAGGGTCGCCAACGCTCGCTTGGTTGTGGTGATTAATTCTCGACAAGAGGGCAAGCGATTACATAGCAGATCTGGAGGAAGGCCTCACGGCGACGGATCCGGTGTGGGAGGGGGACTCGCCGTCGCGTCGCAGAAGCTCGACAGAAAACTTTGCCATCGAGTCGTGAGATCCCTACGGGCGTGGCCGTGTCGTCATAACTAGCCCCTGTATCTCGTCATTGTCCACAGATTTGCAAGATCTCGTACAATGATTCATATCTATCTCTCTCTCGCCTACATATGGATTTTCTGTGTTTGAATTTGGTTTACAAATTAATTTGAAATATTTCAAATATTTGAATTTGTATGCCAACATCTGGTATGTCATAAACATAAAAGATTGAAATTGCAAATTAATTTGAATCTGGTCTGCAAAAAGAAAAAGTATCATAAACTTAACGACCTTGATGCATTTTGGGGATTTTGACTTGTTGCTGATTTTTGGTGCTTGGAGGTTCGTCCCGGATGAAGTAAATGGTAGATGATACAACAATTTGATGCCGTGGAAAGACCACAGAGATAAACTTCTTGGATATTGACGATGGTGAAGAAGCAAGTGTTTACAGTTTGTGTTTTGTTTTTAAGAATTTTTAGTTTTCTTCTTTCTTTTCTTTTTTTTCCTTTTTTTTTTTTATCTTTAGTTTTCCTTTTCTTACTTTTATATTTTTTTATTAAGGGCATTCACGTCATTCTCACAATTAAAATTGACTGTTGACTGACATAAGGTGGACATTTAAATAAATTTAAAACACAAGTATAAAAATGTAAATAACTCAGGAGACGTTTAGTTCATAAATTAAAATTATGTGATTAAAATTATTTTTAATTTAAATGTATTTTTATAAAAAAAAAATATTTTAATTAATCATAATTATAATTCAAATCATGATTTAAATCTTCCAATCGCGTCCTCAATCTTTTTTCTCAAATTTATTTATTCGCTATTTTGTATGTTATTGTCTCTCTTCTTTAGCAAATTACCGAACACAAACTTTCTTTTATCGATTTCGATTTCTGACCCATATAAACTTTTCTTTTCAGTTTTGTCCACTGTTATATCAGCCCTTCATTTCCTCCATCTTCTTCAGCAAATCCCAATCTTCGTCTTCTTCATCACCAAAAAAATGGAGAAATTCAAAACCCTAGAAATCGTTCAGAAAAATCCAAACTCCTCGGTGTTTCACCTCCACCTGAACCGCCCATCCCACCGCAACGCTCTCTCGCCGGACTTCTTCTCCGAATTCCCCAGAGCCCTCGCGTCACTCGACCAAAACCCTAGCGCCAACGTCGTCATCCTCTACGGCGCTGGCGACCACTTCTGCTCTGGCATCGATCTCAAATCTCTGAATTCAATCGCCGAACGGGCTCTCTCCGGCGACCGCGGCCGCGGCGGCGAGTGGCTCCGCCGACACATCAAGGGACTCCAGGACGCCGTGACGGCGATCGAGCGGTGCCGGAAGCCGGTGATCGCCGCAATCCACGGCGCCTGTATCGGCGGTGGAGTCGATATCGTCACCGCCTGTGACATAAGGTTTTGCACGAAGGACGCGTTCTTCTCGGTGAAGGAGGTGGATCTGGCGATCACGGCGGATCTAGGGACGCTTCAGAGGTTGCCGAGCATCGTAGGATTCGGGAACGCCATGGAATTGGCGTTGACGGGTCGGAGGCTTTCCGGTCAGGAGGCTAAACAGATGGGTCTGGTTTCTGGAGTGTTCGGATCCAAGCAAGAGATGGACGACGCTGTGGGTTTCGTCGCTGAGGGTAATTTTGGCTTTTCATCCTCCGCCTTATCCTTTCTCAATTTCACTAAAAAAATAATAATAATAAAAATAAAAATTATTTTCATAATTGTCAAGTGCCTTTTAATTTTTTAAAACTATTTGTTGCACCCTAGTTTATAAAAAATAGTTTAAAATGTTTTCTCTGTAATTTCGTCTATAATTTTAACAGGTTTACCGTGCCATTAGGATTGAAATATTAAAATCATTAAAATAATATTTAGTTTATGAATTTCGAATCATGATTAATGATTTTGATTTTTAAAATTTAATTTTTTTTGAGAAAAAAACACTATAAAATTATAAACCATGATTCAGAATCAAGAACAGATACATGTAACAAACATTCCCTAATACATTAAAAATTATATAAAAAAATAAATAAAAAAATCTTTGCTCCCATCGCCTAGCCGGACCACCCCCACCCACCTATGGAACACCCCCACCCACCGATGCAACACCCTCACATCCTTTCGGCGATTCGTCATCTCTGCAACGGCTAACTCACCATCTTCTCTGTGACGGCTAATATATTAGATCTCCTTTTTCTCTCCTCTTCCGCTATTAATCACTACCACTGGAGGAATATTATGAGTTTAAAATTATGATTTATGATTTTAATTTTTAAAATTTAAATTTTTTATGTGAGAAAAATATTGTAAAGAATTAAGAATTATAATTCAAAATTAAGAACAAACCTTCAAACATGTTTAAGATTTAACCCATTTTCAAACATCCTTTTTCAGAAAAGAAAAAAAAATTGGAGAAAACTACTCCAGAAAAACAAATAAAGAAAAAAAAAAAGAAATCCTCTCTCTCTCTCATCCAAACCAGCCTTGATAACATGGCAATTAATCTGACATGTGAAAAACTCTTAAGACTAAAACATATCTCTGAGCCATTTCGTCGAACAGCTTCCTCGCACCCTCCAAATCCAAACAGTCCACATAAAACAACAGCAAATGTGAATCAGAACGTAGTGTGAAAACACACCCATGAATCTCCAAATCATAATGAAACTTTGAAAACTTTGAACAAACCTTAAGAATGAAGGGAAAGTGTAACGGGTTTGTCTTAAAAAATTAGAGACACTTTGAATATGGTATATAGCTCAGAAGGTAATTATGAAAATAATCCTAATAATAATAAAAGAAAATTATAAATTTTATTTTTTTAAATACATGACTTATTAAAAATATTTATTTTAAAAAACTTTACTTTTTAACTAGTTCTAATATAAAAAATAAATATATATATATATAGGCTAATGTTAAAGGACAGAAATAAAAGAGATTCTATTTTAAGAGGTATTTTTAAAATTGTCCGATTGTTTTTCTTTTTTAGTTTATTCATTAAATATTTTTTTAAAAGGCCTTGTGCTTTTTTCATGTGGCCACGGGTAGTGCTGAAACTTTAGACGGGCCGCCCGCAACCACTGAAAAGTCTGAATTTTTACCCGATTATCGAGCCCGAACTGCCTGAATTTTCTGGTTCCCCAACCCGACCTGAATTTCACCTTGGACGAGCAGCAGGCAGCCTTTGGCTGCTCGTGCTTGGTCGGGCTGCCCGTTGCCCAACCAAAAATGCCTGAAATTTTTTAATATTCTTTATATTATATATATATATATATTACAATTTGAAATTTGAAATGAACACACGAACTATATAGAAAAAATTATTTCTTTATTGATTTTTAAATTTGTAATTCATGATTAGCTCGTTAAAAACCTTTCCAAGAAAAATTCAATTATGATAAAAACTTGGTAAGGAAAAAAGAGTGCAATTATTATGAGACGAATTACAAATTTGATAAACTTACAAAGTCTATACAAGATTACAATAAAACTATACAAATTAGAAATTACAAAGTAAATAAATATTTACAAAATACAATAATAAAATTTAATTTGAAACAGAATGATGGTTTTGAAAATTAAAAATTAATCTATTAAATTCGTTAATCCATTCTTGACTTGCCGGTGAGATTGTATCGTGTAAGCATTGATCAGAACGATTCCAATCCTTGATGCACACCAAAGCTTCAACAATATCATGTTGTAATGCGTTTCTCCGTTCTTTGAGTATTCGGCCAGTTGTACTGAATGCTTGTTCGGCTATAACAGTGGAGACCGGGATCGAAAAAATATCTATTGTCAGTCGTGTTAGGATCGGCCAAGTTAATGCTTGTGCCCTTCACCACTGAACAAAATCAAACATTTCACTATTGTTTACAACTAAGCCCTCACTCAGGTACGTCATTAGCTCGTTGAAGCTGCCGTTGTTGCCGCCACCTCTTGATGAAAATTCACTCCCAGATTCTTCTTGACATTGAGTCGTCGTCGTTGTCTTCTTCTTCTTCTTAGACAACCCGAAAACATTCAAGAATGAATGCAGATTGTTGTCTCGTTGTTGCAGTTGTTCTACACGATGTGTGTTTCTAAACCTACTTTCATAAGAGCTATAGAGAGAAAAAAAAAATTTCTTTATAATAGGAAATTGGTCAGTAGTGTCGATAGCTAAAAATAAGAGAGATTGAGAGCGCTTTGAGAGAGATTAAGAGAGATCGAGAGAGATTTGAGAGAGATTAAGAGAGATTAAGAGAGATTTGAGAGAGATTGAGAGAAATTGAGAGAGAATGAAAATTTTTGGGTGAGAAAAATAGTTGGGGGAGGGGGGGTAATTATAGGAAATTTTTTGGCTTGAAAAAAAAAAATTTCCCCCAAAAATTCGGTTCAAACGGCTAAGTGGAATTCGGGCATTCAGGTCCGGTTCAGGCAATTCGGGCAACGGTAAAAGAAATAGCCGTTGGGGTTTGAAATTTCAGGCAAAACTCGGGCGGCAGTCGGGTCGGGTAAAAAAGATCCGTTGGGTTTAAATTCGGGCTAACGGTCAAAAAAATTTAGGCATATTCGGGCTAACGGTCAAAAAAATTAAGACAAATTCGGGTTATGCGGGAAAATTTTAAAAAAATCCGGCGAGCGACGAGGTCGACTTCTCCACCAGCAGCGGGCAGCCGAAATGGATTTTTTTCGGGCTGCCCGAGCCCGTGCCTGACCAAAATACTCGGACGGACGGCGAATGGCACCTGCCTGCCGTGCCTGAAAATTTTTGGGCATCGAGCATGCCCGCCGCCCGAAGTTTCACCACTAGCCAAGGGTAGATGGAACAACCTTGACGTCGTTTCTTTCTATTATGTTTTTGCCTTTTGGGTAATAAATCGTCGGTTTTATCCGCGTACTTCATCTTTTTCTCAAATTTACTAATTTTGGAAAGAAAATAAAAGGCTTCTTCACGAATCAGCATGACATCATGATTGTGCGAATATGTTTTTCTAAGAAATATATTATTCCGAAAATTTCAGTCAAAAGGTGTTTTTTTTTTTTTTTTTTTTTTTTTTTTTTTTTTTTTTTTTAATAAACTTGATAAAAATACAGGAAGCTTTTATTTTCTCAGAACCTCGTGTTTTTCATGGGCTGCGGTGGTGGAGCAGCATTGAAGTCGTTTCTTTCTTTCTTGGGTCTTTTCTGTTTGTTGATATGGATTATTAGTAGATCATGTAATGGTAAACGACACGATTTTTATCTTTATCTTATTTTTGGGGCTGGGTATGGCAGGAATTGCTTCAAAGTCACCTCTTGCTGTGAGTGGGACAAAAGCAGTGTTGCTAAGAAGTAGGGACATGAATTTGGAACAAGGATTGGATTATGTTGCCACTTGGAATTCGTCAATGCTCTTATCTGATGATTTGAATGAGACAGTCTCCGCTCAAATTCAGAAAAGAAAACCAACATTTGCGAAGCTCTGAATCAACGAATATTGGAATGAATGTTCCTCAACTATGACAATAATAATGTTCTCTGTGTACTCTTGTTCAATAATAACACTTGTCATGGCTCGTCAACCGCATTTCCCTATCACATAGAAAGCAAAGCAGTGTCGTTGTCATGAATGAAGTGACTTGGAAAATTTGGTAAGTAAAAACGCAATAGTAAAAAAGTTGAATTGTGATTCAAATTTATAAAAAAAAACAGGAGCGGTTTTGCTCAAAATAATTAGAAAGTGAGAAGAAGTGAGTCTTAAAATAGTTTACATTAAAAGAATATACAGAATAAACAGTTTTTAATGCATATCTAACAGTTAAAAAATAGAGAACTAGAGATATTTCGTTTTTTCTGATCTTACTATAAAAACTCCTTAAAAATAAAACATGAAAAAAAGCCACGACAATTTTCTAGTTTTCACAAGTTGTGGTTTTATAAAGTTTCCTCTCTCATTAGACACTTTCGCACTATTGTTTTACAAAATTAGCCCTCTTTCAATTTTCGATTCAAGTTTTCAATTCTAGTTTTATTATAGTTAAAAATTTTCATAAAAAGTTATATCTAACATTTTCTGTTACAGTTAAAAGTTAATACAAAAAGTCACATTTTAATTTGAATTGAAAACTTGAATGAGAGAACTAAATGAGGCCTTAGTCTTTGTTTATGAAAGACCTTATCATTCACATAAAGGTTTATCAGAGGGACACCCCTATATTTTACCAATATTACATTGACACTCTTTTAACTGAAATGAATTACAACAACACTCCAGGGTCTAAACTTTGTTTAGTTTACTTGAGAAATGTCAAAACCACCGTTCATATTATGAATTATTCACTTATTTTGGGTTATGTAATTTTCCCTCTTATTTTGGATTATGTAATTTGATTGACTATTGTTTCTCTGTAGTAGAGAACATCTCTATCATTTTCAAATATTACACTTGCAAATTGTCCGATAATGTTTTTATTATAAAATGAATTTTGAAGAACAATAGACGAAGAAAAAACATTTTTTCATAGATAAAAAAAAATTACCATTAAGAGTTATTTAATGTTAAAGTGTGTCAAAATCAGTTAAACTCATTTTTTGTGTTAATAAGAGTAAAATGGACATTTAAAACATTACATATAGCTTAAAAACGTATTTTGACACCTGGAGGGACATTTTTGGCATTTTAAAAAATTAACGGTCAAATTGGACGGTCAAGTAACAGAAGGGGTATCAGTGTAATATTAGTAAAGGGTGTCAGTGTAATTTTTTTGAAAAGTTAAGGGGTGACATGATTAGTTTCAGTTAAAGAGGGTGACACTCTAATATTAATAAAACACAATAGTTGTCAATATAATAAGCTCTTTAGACCATCTTTAATATAAATGCTAATCCTATTTGCATATTTAGCATTAAAAAGTGTGATATTATATATTATTTTTATTTTTGCTCTAATGCATAATGTTATTTTAAATGCTAAGTCTACTTTTTCTCATAATTATTAAGTTTTAAAAATTATAAAAGTAAACTTTTACTTTTAAATTAATTAGAAAATACATAAGTTGAAATGATTACACGAAATATTTCAACTAATAGTAATTAAATGTTAAATTTCTCATATGTTATATTTAGTGAAAAATTTACCACAAAATATAGTATATAAAATATTTAACACAATACATAACATTGTATTATAAAGTATTTTTTACACTCAAATACCAACTTTACAATTAACGCATCAATTATAACATTATATTAAAGGTGCTCTTATATAAACACCGTTGTTCTAAATGTGTTGTTCTAAATGTCATGTATCGTTTCTGTAAAATGATGTCGTATCTCTGATGTTGTTTTCTCCGACCTTGTCGTTTCCGAAGATGACTTTGTTTTTACTAGTTTGTCGATTGAACTTGATATAATTTCCAAAATTTTTGTCTTTTTACTAGTACTTGTCGCCTAAAAAAATATATTGTCATTTCTGCATTGTTACTTAAAGGGTTGGCATCCGGGTTGGCATCCGGGTTGTCGTTTCAAACAATATATATTATGAGGTCTTTGTAAACTGCTCTCATGTTCTTTTTTTTTTTTCAATAAAAAAAAAAAGCCACACTGCTTGCATAGAAAAAAGAAATAAAAACCCTTTCAAAATATATGAGTGAAAAATTTTACTCCTTACTTTTAATTAATAACTTTTTTAATCAAATAACTATACTAATAAAAAAGTATTAATAAAAAAAATGAGGTGCTCATACTCTTAAGAGTGAATTCTGTATTTTTCTTTTTTTTTCTTAATTTTATGTTTGTTTTTCTTTTAATATAGATCAAGGGATAGCCCGCAACCCGCTCCTTTAACCCAATATGGCATAATGTGGCCTACAGGTTCGGGCTAGGCCAAATGTTATATAAAAATTTAGTGTAAATTATAAATTATACGAATACTTGATTTATTAAAAAATCCTTTTAAAACAAACTCTAATTTAAAAAGTAAAAATATATAGGTTAATATTAAAGAGTAAAAATAAACGGGGCTCGATTTTAAGGAATATTTTTAAAACTTATCCAAAATATTTGCAAGCTCAGCCCGTAGTTTCCTTCGGACTAGTGGTGCAACTTCGGGCGGCGGGTAGTGCCATTCGCCGCCCGTCCGAGTTATTTGGTTGGGCACGGGCTCGGGTAGCCTGAAAAAAATCAATTTTGACTGCCCGCTGCAGCTGCCGAAGTCGACCTCGCCGCCTGCTGGATTTTTTTTTAATCTTTCGGCGTAACCCGAATTTGCTCGAGTTTTGCCCGAATTTTTTTTACCGTTAGCCCGAATTTTTCCCGGTGCCCGAATATGTCCAAATTTTTTTGACCGTTAGCCCGAATTTTGAACCCAACGGATTTTTTTTACCCAACCCGACCACCGCCCAATTTTTGCCCGAAAATTCAAACCCCAATGGCTATTTTTTTGACTGTTGCCCGAATTGCCTAAATTTTACCCGACCTGACCCGACCCGAGTGCCCAAATTCTACTAGCCATTGGAACCGAATTTTTTGGGGAAAATTTTTTTTTTCAAGCCAAAAAATTTCCTATAAATACCCCCCTCCCCCCAACCATTTTTCTCACCTAAAAACTCTCATTCTCTCTCAATTTCTCTCAACTCTCTCAAATCTCTCTCAAATCTCTCTCGATTTCTCTCAATATCTCTCAAAGCGCTCTTAATCTCTCTTATTTTTCATAATGGCTTCTTTTGGTTATGGTGGTGATATTCTCATTGATGCCCAATTCAACATCGAAGAAGGGCAATTTAACTACGGAAAGAGTTGTTGAGGAAACTGCAAATCCGACCCCTGGTGGATGTGCTAGAGGTCGTGGACGTAGTGGTGGTGGCACTGGTGGGCGTGGAGGAGAGACAAGCGGTAGTGCTAGTGCAAGTGTTGCAAGTTCTAAGAAGAAATGCAAGCGCACCTCAGCAGTTTGGGAGCACTTCAACACATTCGAGAAGGTCGACAATAACAGTAACATTAAATACATAGCTCAATGTAAATATTGTGGTGATAAATTATAAGGTAACACTATTCAAGGCACTACACACTTGAGAAGATACTCTGAAAAGTGTCTTTAAAAGCAAGGAGGCGGAGCCAATCTCCGCCAAACACAATTATCATTTGACTGCCAAACCAGCGGTCTAAGCACGTGAAAATACGATCCGCAAGTTGATCGTATGTAAATGACACGATTAGTAGCCACATTAGATCAACCACTTAGTTTTACTGAAAAAAGAAATTGGCAGCGTTATATTAAAATTATATATAATCCTAATACGCAATTTTTTTTCTAGAGCTACTCTTAGGAAAGATGCATTAAAATTATATAAACAAGAAAAGGAAGCATTAATCAACCTTCTACATTCTACTGGTGGTTGCGTTGCATTAACGGCGGATATTTGGTTCACCGTTACCAACAAAGATTATTTAGCTGTAACCGTACATTATTATAAAGGTTTTGATTTGGATAAGAGATTCTTAGGTTTTAAATGTGTTATAGGATCACATACTATCAATTTAATATATAACACAATTTTATCTGTCATTGATGAATATAGTTTAAGAGATAGAATAATGGCCATAACATTAGATAATGCAACTGCAAATACTAAAGCAATATAACTTTTTAAAAATGATTTAAGTTTATTTGGTAATAATGATATATTTCACCAACGTTGTGCATGTCATATAATTAATTTAATAGTAAAATAAGGTTTAAAATCAATGTCAGGTCATATTAAAAGAATTAGAGATAACATTACTTGAATTCAAGGTAGTAATCAAATAATACAAGATTGGTTTAGATTTCTACAAGCATGTAATCAAAATCCTAGAGCATTAGCCTTAGATATGCTCATAAGATGAAACTCCACTTATAAAATGTTTGAACAATGCATCCCCTATAAAAGATGCTATAACAAATTATGTTAGTGTAAAATTAGGACCAGGATTTATAGATGAAACTTATTGGTAAGTTGCCGAACTCTTGTTTAACTTTTTAGGTAGATTTCACGAAGTTACCTTAAAGCTTAGTGGAACTTATTACCCAACGTGACCATTAGCGTTAGGAGAACTTTTAAGAATGTCTATTTTATTTAGTGAATTTAGGACACACGAGGTTTTAGGAGTTCCTATCACCTCTATGGAAAAGAAGTTTAAAAAATATTGGTCTAAATTACTCATGTTGTATAGTTTCGATGTCATTTTCGATCCTAGATTAAAATTAGAAGGTTTAGAAAGTGGATTAGATAACTTAGGTGAATTTTTAGCTATTGACACTACTGAACAATTTCCTATTATAAGCGAAAAAATATTTTCTCTCTATATCTCTTGTGAAAGTAGGTTTAAAAACACACCTCATGTTGAACAACCGCAACAACGAGACAACAATCTGCATTCATTCTTGAATGTTTTTGGGTTGTCTAAGAAGAAGAAGAAGAAGACGACGATGACTCAAGGTCAAGAAGAATCTGGGAGTGGATCTTCATCAAGAGGTGGCGGCAACAGCGGCGGCTTCAACGAGTTAATGACGTACCTGAGTAAGGGCTTAGTTGTAGACATTAGTGAAATGTTTGATTTGGTTCAGTGGTGGAGGGCATAAGCATTAACTTGGCTGATCCTAACACGACTGGCAATGGATATTTTTTCGATCCCGGTCTCCACTGTTGCAGCCGAACAAGCATTCAGTACAACCGGCCGAATACTTGAAGAACGGAAAAACGTATTGCAACAGGATATTGTTGAAACTTTAGTGTGCATCAAGGATTGGGATCGTTCCGACTAACGCTTACACGATACAATCTCACCGGCAAGCCAAGAATGGATCAACGAATTTAATAGATTAACTTTTAATTTTCAAGACGATCCTTTGCTTCAAATTAAATTTTATTATTGTAATTTGTAAATATTTATTTACTTTGTAATTTCTAATTTATATAGTGTTATTGTAATCTTGTATAGACTTTGTAAGTTCGTCAAATTTGTAATTCGCCCCACAATGATTATACTCTTTTTTTCTTACCAAGTTTTTATCCCAATTAGGTTTTTCTTGGTAAGGTTTTTAATGAGACAATCATGAATTATAAATTTAAAAATCAATAAAGAAATAATTTTTTTATATAATTCATGTGTTCATTTCAAATTTCAAATTGTAATATATATATATAATATAAAAATATAATATTAAAAATATTAAAATTTTTGGGCAGTTTGGTCGGGTAACGGGCAGCCAAACGCTGCCCGATGCCCGTCCAAGGGGAAATTCGGGTCGGGTCGGGCAGTTCGGGCTCGATAATCGGATAAAAATTTAGATTTTTTTATGGTCGCGGGCGGCCCGTCTAAAATTTCAGCACTAGTCCGGACTGTATGGGCCGGGTTGGGCAGTCCTTATTAAAAGGTCTAATAGGAACTCCCCTTGTCGTTCATCATTTAATGATCCGTAGGATTTTTTTAATGATAATAATAACAATAATAAAAATACAAAACTAGAAACTCCTAAAATCCTTTTTTTTTTCCCTCTTTTTCTTCGTGAAATGAACATTCACTAAGTTTGAGGGCAACATATAAGATTTAAGATTTCATTGTTGTTAAAATATGCGAGCATAATTATACGAGTTGTAATGAACAGAATTCGTTATCTGGACGTTGCATATGAGAAGGACTTAATTCCAATAGAGTAAGAAAGAAGGAATTTTAGGATCTGAGCTCAAACCATGGGATGAGAATGTCGTTTTCTAAGATACATTGCTTTTTAAGAAGCAATCACCTACACTTCTCGTCGTTTGTAATAGGAGTCTCAAGTCTGTTTTGTCCACTTTCTCCATCCCCTATATCACAATGATAAAAAAGGAAGGCTTGCTTCTTGTTCCTGTGTTAATCTCTTCCATCTCTGCGTTTCACAATGATCTTGCCGTTTTGAAAAAAAAAAAAAAAAATTCGTGGTGTATGTGTTGCTGCCGTTTCCTTATTATGTTGTCGATTTTAGGAGGTTATAGTTTCTTATTTTGTTTAAAGGCGACGTTGTTTTTACGAGATTAATGCCATTCGAATTTTGACAAAGTTGTCTAAAAGATAGTCGTTTGTTTAATCTCGTCGATCAAATTTTTGGTCATTTACACTATATGTTTCGTTTCTTACATATAGCTGTTTTTCAGTTTCTAATGTCCTTCTCCGGTCTTGCCGTTTTTACGAAGCTATCTAAACTCTACTTATTACATTGGCGTTTTTTATTTGTTCATTATTCATATTGCATACGAAGTTGTTTCAAAATAATTTGTCGTTTTAGAATCATCCTTTGTGCTTTCCTGTCGTTTACATTTTATCATCGCTCATAAGATACGCTGTCCTTAACAGCGCAGAAACCGTGCCCGTCTCAAGTCTGCGGACCACGAGAAGGAAGTCCGAGCCGTGGAATGTTGTCCATTTTCAGGCGTTGTCGTTTTTTGAATTTTTTTGTCGTTTATCATTAGTTGTAAATCAAACAACAAAATCTTTATGTTTCCCCTCGTAGTCCAATTTCCCAAGTTTTAGGAGAACAAATCCTAGATCCAGCAACGTACCGATATAAAAAATAGGAATAAAATCATTTTGATATCCTGTATTATAGCGAAGTTCTTGGTACCTCATTTTTTTTATAATAATAAAATGATACATTAACATTTTTAAAAGCATCTTCTTGATACCCTTAAGCTAATTTTTAGGATATGTAATGTCTAAACTACTATTTTTATCAATTAAATAGAAACCAGTATTTAAAAAAATGAAAATATGTTAAAATATTAAAATATTTAAAAGAAAATAATAAAATAAAAAAGTTCATGATTCTTTTCTTAGATCTATTAGTTTTTTATTAATTAAATAAAAGGGTAGTAAGGTTATTTTATATCTCAAAAATAAACTTCAAAGTAAAAAATGATGTTTTTGAAAATGTTAAAGTACTGGTTTAATACTATAAAAAAAACAAGGTATTAAAAGCATGTTTCACTATAACACAACGTACTAAAATTATCTTATCCCTAAAAATAAAATATCAAAGGCAGTAACTTTTTCAGAGGCCAAAGAAATCACTGAAAATATATGTTAAGTAATTAAAATGGCTTTCTCATACGAGCAGCTGATTTTCTGCTTACAATTTTTCAATTTATTTGGAAAAAATTTTAAATTTCCAAATATTTATTGCATGCAATTAGGGGGCAAAAAAAAAAAGAAGGCCCATCTATCTCAGTGGATCAGGATGAGAATGATGGTGATAAATGATGTTCTATAAATCAAAATTCAAGTTAAACGAAAAAGATGTTTGTTGTCCAAATACCATTTTTGTTTTTTCATGCCATACATAGACTAGACTCAAGAGGCATTAATTATGCCTCATAAAGTCTCGAATTAATTATAGTGCCCCACCAAAACACTTGGCTGATTAAGTAATAGTCCAATACAAGAGGCAAACACTCCTTTTTTGAGTCACAAAAAAACTCAAAACAAACTTGATGCTGATCATCCACTCAGATCAGTTCCATAAAGTCGAGTTTTTAGAATCCGTTTAGTTTGCTGATTTGAATTTTTAATTTGAGTTGAGATGTGACTTTATGTGAAAGCTTTTTACTGTAACAAAAAAGTTAAATGTGACTGTTTCTGAGAGCTTTTAACTATAGTAAAATTCAAATCGATGAAATGAACGAGATCGAAGCGTTAAATTATGCTTAAAAGAAAAAGGCTATAATTAATACCGACCAGCATTTTGATTAATTATTATAAAAAGATAGCAGCCCATGTGACATTTTTTGATATAAAGTGGGATCCCATCCCAGTTCCCACTACCACAACTTAAAGTGGAATTCATGAGTAAGAGCACTCAGAACGATTTGAAGCCTGTTTAGCAGAATTTTTTAATGGGCTGCTTTTGACTTTAGATAATCCAGTAGAAATGTTTAAAAAATTTATTGATTAAAAACAACAATTTTTCTTTTTTGTTACTTCTTTTCTTCTTCTGATTAAAAATAAAAGTAAAATTCTGTCAATCAGATTTTCAGTCATAAGTGGTCAAGTATTTTTCTTTTAATGAAATGTAGAATTACAGAAAATTAATGCATTGTGGATGAATATCACCTTTGAAATGCATGAATGTTGAATTGGTAGTGGTCCAAGTAGGAAGTACCAGTTCTGTTCTGTTAATTTGAGGCTTATCATAATCGGCCTTTTGACACCTTAACAATTTGATGTTGACCACTGATTGATTTCAATAGTTAAAACTGTATGTATATAATTTTTGGTGTTGCTAAGGAAAAGTCTGTGTCAATCCAGATTTTGCTGGATTTGAAATGAAATGAGAACTATTCTTGGTCTTCGTTGGCTATTCTGTATTTTTGAAAGTCAATTTACGTTTGAAAAGTTAATGGTACAACATTACACATTATTACTGTATTAGAAAAAAAGAAAAGGGAGAAAGAGGAAAATAGGTTAAGATTTGAGATGAATTAAAATTAATAGGTTAATAGTTTATATAAGTTAATAAATATGTTAAATTATTATTTTTGTTTATAATTTGTCTGTTTATGAATCATAACTTGATAAGTTATTGTCTATAACTCACGATTTTTGTTAATAATTTGTCTGGTTATGAATTATAACTTGATAAATTTATTTATAACTTATCTGATTATGGATTATAATTTAACAAGTTATGACCTATTAATTTCTATAACTAAAAATTAACATATATACTTTTTTAAACTTTTCATATTGATTTATTTTTTACTATTTTTGAAAAAAAAAAATAGATACTTGTGGCGCGAGTGATGGACATGGATTTCAGATATTCGGGAGCATATTCCATTTGAATTTTCCAAGCATTAAGGCATCAAGGTGGAAATATCTGCTGATTTCTTTTCTGCTGCAAATTAAGAACAATCGAGAGAGCCGATCACTATTCAAAACCAATTAATTCATAAGCCACCCATAGATGGAATATCCAACTCGAATATTCTTTCTTGAAAATCACAGACATTAAAAAAGAAAAGAAACAAAAGGTTAAAAAAAAAAAAAACACTAAAAAGTAATGTGAATTAAGAAGCAAACAAATAAAGAGGAAAGTGACAGAGAGAAGACGATGACAAGTATCTCATATTGTTTTACATGTAGTGCAGAAGCTTCTCTGTTATTAATCCCAATCCCAATCCCAGAGCTATTCAATACTACTACTAGTACTATTAATAAGCCCAAACCAGCTCTGATCATCAAGAGATCAGCCAAGCACCAAATCAACAACAATATGGCTCTGATCAAAGCCGTCCATATCCCCGACGTCCCCATTAAAAACAATCTCGATCATCATCATAATATCAATGCAGCTTTCCATGATCCCCTTCATTCTTCTTCTTCCATCGTTTCCAAAGGTCAGTAGTAATTTAATCAAGTTTATTAATCATGAATGTCTTTTTTCTTTCATATAATGATGTTTTCGTTTCTCATTTAAAGTTTTTTTTTTTTTTTTTTTTTTTTTTTTAAAAGAAGAAAAAACAGAAGTAGTGGGAGATGATGATGATAATGCAGGTGAGGATGATGAGATGAAAATGGTGATGATAGGGCACAGGGGAAGCGGGATGAACATGCTTTACTCGCCGGATCAAAGAATGAAATTCTTGAAAGAGAATTCGATTCTCTCCTTCAATAACGCAGCCAAATTCCCCATCCATTTCGTCGAATTCGACGTTCAGGTCAGTCAAAAACTTTTGTTAATCATTTCTGATTGATTATCAACCCTCTCAATTATCATTAATCGTTCATTTCTTCAATTATTATAATCTAGAAAAAAGGAAAGAAAAAAACTGAGAAAGAGTTGGTGAGAGTGCACGTGGTGGCGTGGGTCGGTGGAATGCGTCGCCATTCGCCGCGAAGTTCTGAAATTTTGTCAGAAACAGAAATTTAGAATGTTCAAAAAAAAAAAAAAGAAAGTAGAAACAGAAATTCAGATTTCAAAGAGATGCACGTATTTAGAGGTGGTATGAGTACGTACAACAACGTAAACTATTAAAAACATCAGTTTGTATTTAATAAGACATTTTTATAGAGAGAAATAGATTTAGAATTATATAGATCGAAATAATTAGAAAACACACTTTAAATTTAGACTTTTAAAAAAATTTAATTTCAATTAAAATTGTGTAAAAAAGTAAAATTTATATGACCGACGCTAAGTTGGGATTAAGTGTGTTTGTTTGTAAATACTGTGCTTGATTCACCTTATCTACTTCGTCCTCGTCTATGTTTTTCTGTGGCTGTCGTTTTATTTATTTATTTATTTATTTGTTTTGGCGGGTTTTCCAGTAACGGTTATAAGACATCTCCAGACACTTCAGGCATTTTTATTTTTTTTTTGGATTTTTCATAAATTAATAATAAATATATTGGACCCACCGCTGTGTCTTTCTAATATTGGTTAATTTCTTAAAATAAATACAGTTTTTTTTCGGGGTTTAATTAAGTTTACAAGTTAGTCTACGACGAAACTGTAAACAAACAAAAACCTAATTTTGTAGGTGACCAAAGATGACTGTCCAGTCATTTTCCATGACAACTTCATCCTCACTCAGGACAAGGTTTGTGCTTTATTACCTTTATTTATATATGATAATTAGATTACATTATTTAAAACCAACTTAACTTATTCTCTTCCAAACACTAATCGCCTATCTTTAATTGATATTTGGAATTAGGGTGTCATTATTGAGAAACGAATTTCAGACATTACTCTTGAGGAGTTTCTTTCATACGGGCCACAGAAAGAGCCTCAAATGGTAATCATCAATCATCTGTTTATTTATCTTATTCTAAACATCAGATCATATTAAAATCATGTACATTAAAATAAAATAAAATAAAAGGTGAACTTATAGAGATTAATAAAAATCTAACGGTTTAAAATTGTGCAGTATCAATAGGTAAAACTTCAGTTACTGTTAATTTATTTATAACTTGTATACACTGGTGAATTGAACATTTAGGTGGGAAAACGTCTCTTCAGAAAAACAAAAGATGGAAGGATTTTTGAGTGGAAGGTGGAAAAGGATGACCCTCTATGCACATTGCAAGAGGTGTTTCAGAAAGTTGAGCATTCTTTGGGATTTAATATCGAACTAAAGTTCGACGATAATATAGTCTACAAGGAGGAACAACTCACACACATTCTTCAAGCCATATTGAAAGTAAATGGACCTTGATTCTTCATTTCAGATTAATGGTGATTACAATATCATTATTCCTAATGTCAGTGTTTCTTAATTGACATTCAATAGGTTATAAATGAGTTCGCTAACGATAGACCGATCATCTTCTCAAGCTTTCAACCTGACGCCGCCTTGTTGATCAGAAAAATGCAGAACACCTACCCCGTAAGTTTTATTTCTTGCAACCATTTTCGTTCTAAATTATAATGACTATTTCTTATAAGTTTTATTTTTATTTTATTTTTTTGGCTCTGCAATAATATTACAGGTATTTTTTCTTACAAATGGAGGGTCTGAGATTTACGCAGACATCAGAAGGAACTCATTGGAAGAAGCCATCAAGGTGTGCTTGGAAGGTGGTTTGCAAGGAATTGTATCAGAAGTCAAAGCTATCTTTAGAGATCCAGGGGCAATATCTAGAATCAAAGAGTCCAAACTGAAGCTTCTAACCTACGGCCAATTGAAGTAAGCCATAGATATTCATAACCTCTTTATATAATCTATTCTCAAATCCAATTCTTCATGTATCTTGCTTTAGATTTTCTGAAGTCTTTATTCAATCCGTAATTATTTCCTAAAAAAAAATGCGATGAACTTTTTATATTAAATCACAACAATTTGATAGGATCTTATTATTGCGTCATTATGCATCGGTAGTGAAAATTGAGGAGTCATTGGCCATGTTTGGAATCGATCACATTTTTTATTTTTCACGTTTTTTGAGAAAAAAATAAAAGTGTTTTCAAAACGGCGTTTGGCGCAATAAAGACAAAAAACAGAAATGAAAACGATTTTTTAGTTTAGTGTAAAATGAGAGAGAAATGAAAAATGACTTTTAGTTGTTTTTCATTTTTTATTTTCGTTTTCTCCTCTCTCGAGCAGAGAAAGAAACATTAATGGATTTTTTATACTAAAAATAATCTCTTGATAAAATTACCAAACGCATTGTTAGTACCAGTTTGAGTCTTTTAAAACTTTATAAGACAATATGAATAATGCAAAAACATAAAATAAAAGAACACGAGAGAAATGGTATCGCGGTTCAGTAACACACTACTCAGCGGGGCCATGCCCAGATGATGAACAATCCACTAAGAACTCTTTTACAATTCAATTGGACTTAATCTACCCGGACTCCCTCTCTAAGAAGACGCCTATGAACTTGTAATTTCCCAATGGACTTGAACAGCGAGATCCTCTCGACTTTTGAACATTGGAATCCCTCCAACTAAGTTTTTCTCCCGAAAAATACTCAAATCATCTATTTGAATACAAGTGCTCACTCATATCTCACAGCCCAGTAAAAACTCATCAAAAGGCCTACAAAGACTTAAGGGACACTTTCAATAAATAAGCAAGCTGTGAATAGCTTGACACATCTTCAATTAATTCGCTAAACCAAATCTGTTGCAGATCCTTGTTGCAACAATAACTGTAACATAGCTGTCACGGCCAACTTTCTCAAAACCAGACGAATCAATCTCCTTTCATTCTAAAATCTTTTCAAAACTGATAAACGAACTTGGACACGTTCTTAGGCGACATAGGAAGATCATCTAGCTATGAAATCTCAATCAAGAATCAATCAAATCAATTTTCCATCTTTGAATCAATAGTTGACTTACAAAAATAGAAGCTAAAACAAGTTTCCAGATCTTTTAGTAACCTTCTATAAAAAGCTAGTCAGCTACACACCTATTTTCAAACACAATCAACCAGCCAAACATTCCCAAAATAATGCCAATCAAATACGATTAGAATCAATACACAAATTGGGAAACAAATCCCAACAATCTCTGAAAATCAATCCCAACAATCTCCCCCTTTGGCATTGTTTTGGCAAAACTAATAATAGCAACTAAAACACAATACTTTTTGTAAAGTCAACCCGCACAAATCAAACTTACTAGACTATTTACTCCCCCTTTTTGACAAAAATAAGCCAAAAAATCTAGAAACTGTGCAACACCTCCCTGCAAATCACGTTCCAATTCATTGAGTTTTGCAAATCGCTCCCCCTGAATCCTCCACGAGTCTTACTCCCCTTGAATATGGTATTCTCCGATGCATATTACTTTTATCACCTATCAAAAGCTTGAAGTGACCATTACCACAATACTCAGAGTTAGTAGTACATGCTCTAAAAGAAGTATAAGCCCCATGACACCTTAAATTAGATTTCCTTATCCACACACGTCTAGGAAATTTATTTTCCACATCAATCTTTGCTTTAGGTATCCTTCTTGTGTATGTAAAATTTGGTGGATTAATGATCATACCTCTTTTTAAAGCATTCAAGTATTTGTAACATGTAGGTCTAATGTGGCCAAGTAAATTACAATAGTGACATATAGGAACGAACATGTTTGTTGTTTGTCTTGTTACAATAGGCTTTGCAACAAACTTCTTGTCTGATCTTACCCGAGATTTCTTAAAGGACTGTGTCATAGTACTAGTGGCTCCTTTCATAAAGACAGTCTTCCCAGAAATTTATTGACCCTTGTAGCCAAGGCCTGAATGATCACCACAAGTTTTTTGTTGTGAGAGTAAGTGATCCAATTTTGATGTGCTCGAGTTTAGCATCCTTAAATTCTTCTGGGTCTGCTCCAATTCGAGTCTAGTCTCAGCAAGCTTTCTTTGATGCTTTGTTGTCAAGATTTCATAATTTGTTGCAGCCTTCTTCAAGTCATCTCTTTCCTTTGTTAAGACACCAACTTCATCTTCAAGTGATTTGTTTCGTTTGCAAACAACAAGCCATTTGCTGTACATCTTCTTATAAGCCTCATGAATCATCCCAAGGCTTAGGTCATCATCGTCACTATCATCTTCAGTTTCATCCTCGAAATCGGTATCATCAACAATTCCACCAGAGGTTGTTGCAGACGCTGTTGCAACAAACTCTGTAACAACATTATCAGTGCTAAATAAATTTTTATCCGTGAATTCATTTATTACAATGAAAGCTACATAATTGCTGATGTGATCATCTGCATCCTCTTAACTTTCATCCGAATCATCACTCCATGTAGACGTCATGGCAGCCTTGTTTCTCTTCTTGAGAGTGTTTGCACACTCCGCTTGAACATGTCTGAATCCTTCACATTCTCGGTATTGTATTCTCTTTCTTTTCTTCTCTTCAAACTGTTGAGAGTTAAAATTCTTCTTTTGAGAATTTTTGTTGTTTGAATTCTCTCCAAATCTCCCTTTCTTGTTGATCTTTCTCATCATCTTATTGAAGTTTTTGGTGAGTAAAGTAAGAGACTCACTCAAGTCCTCATCTTCGTCGCTCTCATCTTTGGTGGACATATCATCATAATCTGCTTAAAAAGCAATTCCTCTACTTTTCTTTTTATCCTTCAAGTTCATCTCAAAAGTTTGAAGAACACCTATGAGTTCATCAAGTCTCATCTTCTCCACATTTTTTACTTCTTCGATGGCTGTCACTTTGTAAGCGAAACATGCTGGAAGTGACCTCATGGTCTTTTTCACCAATTTGGCGTCAGAATATTTTTCTCCAAGGGCGAAGGCTTCGTTAGCAATATCACAAAGCTTTGAGTTGAAATCAGCAATACACTCATCCTCCTCCATTCGTAAATGTTCAAAGCGGATTGTGAGGATTTGAAGCTTTGAGGCCTTCACAGCATCCGTACCTTCATGTGCAGTTCGAAGAATATCCCAAGCTTCTTTAGCAGACTCACATGTGGAAATCAATTTAAATTGATTAACATCCACAGCATTGAAAATGGCGTTCAATGCTTTTGAATTACTGTTTGCTAGCTTGTCCTCATCGCCGGACCATTTCTCTTCTAGCTTAGGGACGGTATTGCCTTCATCATCTTTAGTTGTTGGATGAGTCATTTCGGTTAAGACAGATCGCCATGCCTTCTCATCAATAGCTTTAATGGAAGCTTTCATGCGAGCCTTCCAATAGGGGTAATTGACACCTTCCAGAAGCGGTGGTTTGTTCACAAATCCTCATTCTCTCAAGACATCGATTCATGCAAAATCAACCAGTACACTAGGACCTCACCGAAATACACGTCAGTGACCTTCTCTGATACCAATTGTTAGTACCAGTTTGAGTTTTTTAAAACTTTATAAGACAATATGAATAATGCAAAAACATAAAATAAAAGAACACGAGAAAAATGGTATTGCGGTTCGGTAACACCCTACTCCGCGGAGCCACGCTCAGATGATAAACAATCCACTAAGAGCTCTTTTACAATTCAATTGGACTTAATCTACCCGAGACTCCCTCTCTAAGAAGACGCCTATGAACTTACAATTTCCTAATTGACTTGAGCAGCGAGATCCCCTCGACTTTTGAACATTGGTATCCCTCCAACCAAGTTTTTCTCCCGAAAAATACTCAAATCATCTCTTTGAATACAAGTGCTCACCCATGTCTCACAACCCAGTAAAAACTCATCAAAAGGCCTACAAAGACTTAATGGACACTTTCAATAAATAAGTAAGTTGTGAATAGCTTGACACATCTTCAATTAATTCGCTGAACCAAATTTGTTGCAGATCCTTATTGCAACAATAACTGCAACATAGCTGTTACGGCCAACTTTCTCAAAACCAGACGAATCAATCTCCTTTCATTCTAAAATCTTCCCAAAACTGATAAACGAACCTGGACACGTTCTTAGGCGACATAGGAAGATCATCCAGCTATGAAATCTCAATCAAATCAATTTTCTATTTTTGAATCAATAGTTGACTTATAAAAATAGAAACTAAAACAAGTTTCCAGATCTTTTAGTAACCTTTCATAAAAAGCTAGCCAGCTGCACATCTATTTTTAAACACAATCAACCAGGCAAACATTTCCAAAATAATGTCAATCAAATACGATTAGAATTAATACACAAATTGGGAAACAAATCTCAACAATCTCCGGAAATAAATCCCAACACGCATTTTTAAAAATGATTTCTGTCTGAGATTGAAGACGTTTTCATTTTCATTTTCATACAAAAATAAAATCATTTTAGAATGAGTTCCAAACGCGCCCATTATATCCTAAAATAGATGCAATGGATAGTATATTGACTTCTCCCCCTGCTTCTAGTAATGTGCCAGAGGTAGTATACATGCAACACCTAATGGGCATCAATGGAGTTATTGTGGACCTTGTTCAAGAGATCACGGAGGCGATCACGAACTACAACCAACCCCGCGATGACGGTGAAGAAATTAGCTCATTTGAAGTGGAAACGGAAAGGAGAGCTCGAGTCAAGACGACGCCTCAGTTTTCGCAACGTGAACTCTCGTTCCTTCTGAAGCTTATACCAGAGCTGATACGGCATTGAACACAAAATCCAACAAGAAACACTTTTATACTTGCTTTATTGATAGACCTTAGTTGATATGAGTGATTTCCTTCCCAATCATTTGAGAGAAATCCAACAAGATGTACGTAGGAAATAAACCGAGGAATATCTATGGTTTGTATTGATATGCTGGACGTCTTTTGTGTGTAATATTCCATCAAAACTAAAACAAACACATATTCCTGTTTTGCTTACAGTCTTTTCAATTTGGCAAATGCTATATCTATATCGCTAATAGTAATGTAAGGACAACTACCATACTTTATGTTTTGAAATTCTTCTGCTTTATTGCCACACACGTCGTGATACATAAGGATGATAAATAAAAAGAAAAATGCTAGGACACTCTTTTTATCCCTCTTTATCACTGTATTTATTATTTTATATGTATATTTTATTAAATAAAAAATAATATAATAAAATTTACATATCAAATAATAAATATAACAAGTGACAATACCATTTCTCAAAATCGAAATACTCTCGTAAACAAAACTTGGTCTTACGAGTTGGAAGATCAGAAAGTGGGCCTGTCCAAGCATTTGCGAATTGTCAATTTGTGGGCTATCATAAAACTGGACTTTAGATCAATTGGGCACGTTACACTTAAAAACAAAGCACGAAATAGCAGTGTTAGACTCGTAATTGTATACTACTTTTCCAGTCTATTTATTTATGGGATAATGAGTGAAAATTTTGGTGGGGTGATTAGTAAATTATAATATATATTTTAAAAAATAATAAATTATAATATAATTTAATAGTTTAAGTTTTAAATATTATTAAAAATTTAAAAATACTTTTAAATTTTTTTTTCACTTCACTTCTTTTCTCTAAACATTTATTTTTTTAAAAATAGTAAATTATAGCATATTTTTTTAAAAATGATAGATTATAGTCAAGTTTATTATGGCTGGCACCGTGTGACTGGCGAAGGGTTTCGGCGGCCAATGGTCTGCTCCGGTGACTTTTTTCTAACAACTGTTTTTCGATGGCTGTTTTAACATAGTATTTACTGATAAATATCATATTTACCGATAAATACTGTATTTATTAGTAAATATAATATTTATCTAAAAATTCAACTACCGACTCCGACGGCTGTTTAATACTGTATTTATCGTTAAATACCGTATTTATTAATAAATATCATATTTATTCATATAATACTGTATTTACCGGTAAATATCATATTTATTATATATATTTAAAAATTTAACGACCGACGCTGACGATTGATAAATACTATTTACTAATAAATATTATATTTATTAATAAATATCATATTTATCTGAAAATTTTAAAAACCGCATTTAATGGCTGATAAATATCATATTTATTAATAAATATCATATTTATTTATAAATACTATATTTATCAAAAAAGTCAAGTGGGTGACCTGTCGATCAATAAATATGATATTTAACTGTAAATTAATATTTATCTGATAAATTGATATTTACTGGTATATTTACCATATTTACCTGTATTTAGTATTTACTCATAAATACGGTCACTCACACCTGTTAATTCTGTATTATCCTTGGTCCAAAACAATACATTTCTCAGAATAAAAGTGTCCAGATTACATATCTTTTTTGTTTTTTTATAGGAACCAGATTACATTTCTCAGTAAAAAGGGAAAAAGAAACTCAAGCACAGATTAATCTAACAAGCCGGCGCCGAATCTGGTGGTGCCCGACGGCCGTCTTTCCCAAGAATCAACATCTGTGTATTGCAGGAGATTAAAACACAAAAACACTTTCCCTTTGCATCATCATGCAGCCATTTATTAACCTTTTGTTTTCCCTTTTATTGAAAAGAATATGGAAATGGAAGATGAGCTTCTCAATAATTAACCAAAATAATACAGAAATACTTGAACCAAAATATATATAGCTAATCATAGAAAACGAAAATTTAGAAAAAAATTGAACAAACAAAAATCCCCAAATTGCATCAGAAGGAATAGATCAAACTTCTTCGGCTAATCGTCAACGTCGACGTTGTCGTCGCCAGATGTCTCGATCTGGCTGGCTGTGGTTCGTAACAATGCCGTGATCTGCTCGGATCTCCAACCTTCCTCGAGTCGGCGATGACGGCGACGAGAAGAGAGAGAGAACCGGAGAAGAGAGAGAGAACCGGAGATGAGAGAGGGAACCGACGACGACAGATCTCAAAACGGCGACGAGGGCGACGAGTTGTCCTTGAAGAGAGAGACAGAGAGAGAATCTGGAGGTGAGAGAGAGAGATCGTGGAGGGGTAAGAGAGAGAGAGAGACCGTAAAGGAAGAGAGAGAGAGGCAGATTGGTAGGAGAGAGAAGCTTTTGATGAAAAGGGGGAGAGAATAAAACCTTAGCAGGATGCGTATAATTTTTTGTATGATGAAAAATTAAAATATGTTATAATTTATTATATAACAAAGGATATGTTATTTACTTCAAAAGCATATTTAAAATATGCTATTTGTTATATTTTTCCTTTATTTATTAAATTGTACCATTTGATTTGAAAAGTATGCTTCATCTTTTATTCAACCAAAAAAAAATGTATGCTTAATCTTTTAAAAAATTAAAAATTTTGAATTTTAACTTTATGGACTTTCCAGATGTGGTATTCCTCTAATTCACCCCGAAATATAGAAGGAAGATGAATATGATATACTTTCTTTTCGCTCCTTTATTACATACAGTAGTTTTTGAAAAAGGTTTATCATAGAACCCCATAAATACTGGAATAAAGTTGAGAAAAAGGAAGATTAGTAATTTGCTTCAGAGGCTGGAGAATCTGTGCCTTGCAAGTTTCATGGAATGAGGGATTAAAGACGTAACTTTTAAATAAGAAAATGATAAAACATATCTTCTTTATTTCTTCTCTTTTAAATATTGTACATGGAATAATGCTTATCTTATATCGTATATTATGTGTGTGTGTGTGTATAAATATATATATATATATATATGTCAAAGGTTCACATGCCCAAAGACACCACTACTTTGTTGGCATTTGATCTAGATGGGCCTTTTGAGGAAGTTTCTTTCAAATGTTTGTAAAACAGCAAAAGGCCTTTTGGAGATTCGCGAAGCTGTGAAAGCAACTTTTCTGATATGGCAGTTAAAAACGCTTATTTTTATAGTTTTATAGTGCTGGGTTTTGGGTTGTAAGAGAATAAGTACGTTTTCGTGTACGATTATAGGTACAAGAGAAACGCGTAAGGGGAATTATAAAGCGACAAAAATCTCTTATTTGATGGATTCGAATCCAAGGTCAAGGAAGGATAAACTTTGCACCCAAAAAAAACTGGGAGGAGAATTTTGTAGCGTGGCGTAAAAATTACCCAACTAATTTAAATATGATCATGAAAACTTTTACGCCTCGCGAGTTTGAATTGTGTAAGTTTAAATTTTTAGGTTTGAATTTATATGTGAGTTTTTATAGTTTGAATGTATTTAGTAGTATAAAGTTTAAACATAAAATAAACTTTGAACCAACGTTTGATAACTTTATTAGAACTATAAGTTTTAAAAAAATGTGAGTGAAAATAATTGTGAGAATTGTGAATTGAGTTTCAAACAGTAAATTGGGTTAGAATCTTACAAACTTTAAGGGGAAGGGATATAGTTAAGTTAAACCTTCAATTTCAGATTCAAATGAACTCTAACTTAATTTAAGTCTAAAATGTTACGCAATCAAAGAAATGTTCGAACCACATTCTAAGTTTAACTCCTCTACAACCTTCTAACCAAACAACTCATTAGTTAAATTTTTACAAGAACCTTTCTATTAGCATCTCACGCTTGTGCATATTTTTTTTGTATTATTTTGATTTGTTTTTTAACATATTTTAAGAAAAAATCATGTACTGTGATTGGGTATACCCTCGCGTAGAAAGCTCCAAACTTTCATACTTTTTTGTTAGAGGGGAAAATTTTTTTTTTCCTATATATTACTTTATGATTTTGACGGCATGGCTAAGGAGGGTAAAGCCAAATCCTTTCATGGTAAAAGATGGCGCAATATCTTACTGTGCTAGCACTTAATTTGTAGTTTTTGCTAGAATACTTAATTTGTAGTTATTATTTATTATTAAAAAAGAAAAGAAAAAAAAACACATATATAGAAGGGTTAGTACGTGGTGGCGTTAAGTAAAACACATGGAAATTCATCATAAAACATTCAAGTGACAAGGTCTACAATCTACCCTTTCTCATCACGCGACTTAATTTTTCAAAGTGTCTGAGGAAAAAACAACAGAAAATCGTGTAAACAAAGAAATAACTAAATATCGCTATGGTGATGATCGCCATTATTTCGGTTTTTTTTTTTCCTTTTTTGTGTCCTATGGGGCCAAGTATTAGTTTGGTACCATTTTGTTGAAAGTTTGAAACCCTTTGTGAGACAGGCTACAGAAGTCCCACTGTGGTTAAAATTAAAAGATATGTATATATTTATATATATATATATATATATATATATAGCTTGCGTAGTCAAGTGAAATGTAGTCATGGGTCATAACTCATGACTAAAATGTCCCAAACCCTAATATTACATCCTAAGCTGTCCCAGTCGTCAATAAAATCAGGTTTAAGAAATGTCTCCAAAACCCCCTTTTGCTTGCCTGCAAATGAAGAAAGACAGCACCTTCAAATCCTCTCAGATATATATATATATATATATATATCATGTATATATATATATATATATCATGTATATCATATATGTGTCCTTGTACTGGTTCATGGATTCCTCCAGGAGGGTTGACAAAAATGTTTAGCTTCAAAATGAAGAAAGTGAGCTCAAACATACTGTTGGGTAGCAATGACCCCTGGAATGCAATTGCACACCATTAAAAAAAAATAAATAAATAAAATAAAATAAAATAAAATAAAAACTGAGTCAACTTTGAAATCTATGATGACTTTTGAATTTTCTCCACTCTTTTTCCAGAATTTCTTCTCATTGGATAGTCGTTAATTTATAACTTGTTCATGCATCATGTAACATTATATATACATATAGATGGTTTTATATATGCGGTATCAATTAATTAAAGGTAAACACATAGATGCGGAAACGTACATGTACATGTACATAAGTTAATTAATAGTATAATTTTAATGAAACATATGTAAATGTTTGTCTGCATAAGATGTGATTGCTTGCTTATAAGTACGTATATATGCATAAAAATAATATAGTTGTATGGTATATTTTATTTATTTTCTTCCGGAACAAGATGAGATCAAGT